ATATCCATACGAAACCGATATCGAATGTCTTTGCACACAAACGCACCGATCACAGCAGCATCGAATTTATTATCCACTTCCACACCAACAAAAATAACGATTGATAGTAATATCACCAATAATGATTTATCCATCCCAGCAGTTAGTATCAAATCAAATGAGCTGAATGAATCGAAAGAACACAGTGTTGAACGAAACGATATTAATGATCAGTTGAATGAACTAGTGAAAATCCATTACGATAATGATACTGATAGCGACAACAGATCATCACCGAGTGGCAGTGATATGCCACAAGTTGGTGTTATCAAATTCAATGATATCACTAAGAAATGGTCAACCTGGTAATTATCTCTTCGATTTCACTTCAAACAAATTCACTCTCTGAATTAATTATGAATATCGCCATTTCTTCGAAATTTTAGCATCGTTCGAGACAAGGCTCACTTTATTTGTGTTATCTTGTATTCAGCTATCCAAAGTGAATTTAAATTCTATTAGCACAAAACAAAATGTTGATATGAATTATTGAAGTGTGGAAATGCCGAAGGAGATGCGTTGTTTTGTGATCGGTAAGAAAGGTCAAATGAAGCGAAAGCTTGAAGAAGAGACCGAATGTCGACTGGTGTTGCCGCCGAAGAAGAAGAAATTATGTCCGATCAGTTGGTTATTCGCCATTTCATCTCACCTCATTGAATCTCTTCATGATGAACACTTTTCAATGTGCACTTTGCAAAGTCGCGATGATTTTTGCAATTGCCGAATCGGGATTAAATCCTGAGATCGTTTTTGAATCCCGTGATCCGGTATCTTTTGACATCACCTAAATTCAGAAGTGTCATATGTTCAACACATTCTTTTTGATCCATTGCGTTCATAATTGATCACAAAACAATTCGTTCAACAAATCCTAGCTGCTCCTGGCATAACAGGGTTTTCATTTGTTTTAACAGGGTTTTCATTCTTTTCCTTGCTGTTGCAATCGCTCTCATAGCTTTTATCACCGAAAGCGTTCTCTTCTGTTAATTTCTCATTCATTTCACTCAACAGTTAAAGTCAAATTCTCATTCTATCAAATACACTCTATAATTGATCATTGGACTGTCAAACGTTGTTGAGCAATTCAATTCGATTGTTGTATTG